CGCGCGCCGACCAATGCAAGGGAATCGCGACGGCTCGTGGTCCTTACGCGCCTCCGCGAACGGTGGAAACGGCAACGGAAACGGTGGTTATCATCCTCAATCGACTCGTGCGTTTTCCAATTTCAATTTCCAACGACCCATCAGATACAATTTCCAGACCCAGCACAATCTCAACTTCCCTCATCGACAAATCCCTACCTTCCCTCCTCACCAATTCGGCGATGGCGCTAATGTTTTCCTGAGCGGTGATAATGGTGGGTCTCGAACCCTTGGATCAAAATCAAAACGCAATGTAGAAGTTATGCGAATTGATAAGGCCGTCATCGAGACGCGTAAATCGCTGGTTGCTTCTGGGGAGAACGTTTCTTCGACTAGAGTGTTTCAATCGGTTTTAGCACAACTTCAAGCTGATTCCTTTGTGGTGCAAATCCAAGATGTTCCTTCGTTTCGCCAGCTTATGGCCCTTGAAGGCAAGGTAAGCTTGTAAAATTTGGTTGATTCCTTTTCTTTAAAACGCTTTGAATCTTTAGCAATTATGTGCATTTCTTGATGTCTTGTAGATCAATGCATTTATTCACTGCTTCGTTGGTGCTCGAAGAATCGTTACCCTGCATGATTTGGAAGTGGCAATATGCCGAAACGAGTTCGTTGATTGTTTTGATGATTTGGAATTGGGACCTTTGCTTCAGCATCCAATTGTCTTGCTCTATTTTCCATCCATCTCCGGTTCTACTGCCCCAGTTCAGATCACTAGTGAGGAGATAGTGTCATTTCTTGATAGCTATCTCAACGCTTTTGATACGGACGATGTTAAGCTCGATGAATTCCTGAATTTTGTTGCTGAGAAAAAATTTGTTACAAGCAAGGAAAAGCTTGGTGTGCGTATTCAGAGCTTACGGTATGACATTGTTTTTTTTGGGGTTATCTAAACTTGCTTATGAATTAGTTATTTTGATGATATAACTTGATAACGTTGGTTAAGTAGTTTTTGTTTTCAAAAATCGAGCAAATTTTTTGGTCAGTTTGAAAGTTTGTCTATGCCTTATATATCTGTTGACTTTTTTGTTTTCTGAAATTGAAGTTTGGTTTCTAGTAGTTGATTGAGGGTTGGAACATCAATGATGTGCTCTGGTTTGATATTTTGTTGTTATGTATAAAGGATACCTCTTATCTGCGTGCTCCTATACAGTTTTTGAAATGATAAATGCGTTTTTTTATAGGATGTATGTATCTTTCATTCAAGATGCAAAGAGACAAGAAGGCGAAACATTGAAGAACTTACTGACTGAACTGCATCAGAAGTATCACATCCTCTCATCAAAGAAACAACGGCAAGATGAATCCCTTATTGTCTCTGAGCATGCTTACTCGTTTGCGTTACATCATAAGGATTATTGTGGCAAGCATACGAGATTTTATTCGTCAAGCTCAGATGACAATGATGATTATGAGGTCGAAAACGTTAATAGTTCTGACCATTTCAATAGTAGTTGTCCTTATCCATCTATTGTAGAAGAGATGAAGCAGCTTCCAGGCTCCAATAAGAAAAGGAAGGCTGAAAGTCGTAATCATGAAAAATCTAATTCGTCCGAACTGCTTAGAAGAGTCCCCTCTAAATTACATAGAGGATATGCGAAACAAGTGACACCTAAATCAGGGGATGATTCTGATTCTAAGCAGGTTTTCAGTGTGAATGAGGCTGATTTCACACTCTCTGAAGGGGCTTTGAGATTGTTCATTTCGACTTGGAAGGACACATGTAAAGAGATAAGCATGTCAGTGGTAAGTCCATGTTGAGTATATTGACATCAGACAACTGCATATATCAGATAAATATTTTTGCTTGAATCTGACAGTGAATTATCTTAAGCAAGGAGAAGTGAGGCTGTATGCTTGTTTATTTTCTAATATTCTCTTTTGTTTTGTAGTTTGTCGAGAATATATTGTCTTTTTACAATTTAGGGGGCTCCGAAGTACAAGTTCCGATTAAAAGAGCTAAAGCTATGGCATCATTTCCATTTGTTGGAATACTACATGTCGCTGTGAGTCAGTGATCATATTACTTTAGTTTAAACTTCAAAGTTCTTTTCATTTTTCCTTTTTGTGATTTCCTGAGATGCATTTTTCTTTGTTTCGTTTTTATTTATTCAGAATCTCTGTTAACGCCTAAAACTTTGTTTCTGAAATTACCTCTCTCTGGGAAACCTCACTGTTTTCTACTCTTTATAATGCCTCTTCTGTTTACCATCCTAATCTGAGGACGTATGTGTTGTCTTGGAAACACTTGGTTTTTCTCTGCGGATTAGTTTTTCATCTTTTCTCCCAATTTGGATAGAATAGAAGGACGCTTGGTTACTACATACTCAAAAGCGTCCTCCTTAAATAAGGCAGCATTGATTTACATCCATCAAACATTTATTGACTCAAAAATGTTGTTTCCCGCTACCTTCAAGGTGTTTACAAGTCTTATTACCTTTTTTCCTTCGTTTTTTTTCCCTTTGTTATTATTTCCCAAGTTGAAAAATATTTGATATTTTCACTGTGTAACACAGGCTCACTATTTTCTGTGACACCTCCTTTTCAAATTTTGAAAAAAGTGCCGGTCTTCAAAGCTTAGACTATTCCACTCGTACTTTTACAACAATTTGGTTTTTTAAGCTGTTTTCTGTTTCTTCTTTTGTTTTTTCTGTGTGGTTCAAGTCTTCCATGCTCTCGTGCTGAGACTTAGCACCAAGTTGCAAAGTCTTGAGTTGAGTTCAGCAAATGAAAAGCTTCCCTAATTCAGCTTTTCTCTTTGATTTTACATCACAATGTCACTGAGGCAGGCTGAAAAAGGATAAAAGTCGCGCCCCTTGTTGTCACCTCCGGTCCCCACTTTGTCTACATGTTTTCTTATTAAATGAATTATTGGAAACCTTCCAAGACCTCAGGTCGCAGATTCTGTCCTTTGAAATATCTGTAGAGGAATGTTTGAAACTGTAACCTGGTTGCATTTTTGAAAGTTTTCCTTGACATGAGTTTGTGCATCTCAAGTTTTTTTTTCACCTGGTTCTGTGTCTTATGCAAAAAGCGTCTAGTTCAGTGTTCCAGAAGTGTATGCATTGTCTTTCTTCAAATATCGTTGATTAAGTGGAAAACCTGTTTGAGGGAATATGTATCCTTTTTTCTAATGTTTGATCATTTTATTTCCTTTTGCTGAAGGAGAAAGCTGCAGATGTTTGCTGTAATTGAGTAGTAACTTTATTTTGTTCCCCCTTTTTAATCAGAAGGAACTTGTAACAGAGGCTCTTGAGGAACAGATACCGAGTGAGATCACCAATACAAACTTGGTTGCTGGATATGATAATTGTGCAGGCACAAGTTCACGAGCTAGTAAGCCAAACCCATTGCGTCCTATGCCCATGACGAGTGTCTCAACGTCAAGGAATCTTGCTCACAAATGGAAAAATTCTGTCTCAACTGTTTCAAGCGTAAGAGATCAGATTCACACCGGCACACCTTGGGCTGCACAGGCGCAACAGACCTGTAAAAAAGGTGAAGAAATCGCGTACAGATACTTTGCTACAAAATACGGCAAGGAAGCTGTGGTTAGATGGGTTAATGAGCAGAGCGAAACCGGGTTACCTTACGACCTAATAATCGAAAACCGAGGTGGTAAGAAAGAGTACGTAGAAGTGAAAGCAACGGTATCTACAGGGAAAGACTATTTCAATTTGACAGTGAAAGAATGGCAATTTGCAAATGAGAAAGGTGAGAGTTACGTTATTGCTCATGTTTTATTAGGAAACAGTAATGCCATCCTCACACAGCATAGGAACCTTGTCAAATTATGCCAAGAAGGTTATCTCCGGGTATTGATTCTCATGCCCAACCAGCGGAACGGGGTCAACGTTGCATTTTAAACCCAATTCAGTTTCTTTTGTTTCCATTTAAACCCTTACTTGGTTTTCAAGGAACTATTAGCATGGGATGTTTCCGGATTCACATGCAAATGTAAAAGCTAACTTGTGGGACAAACAAGACTGAGATTGCCAGATTGGTTAGTAGGCAGTAGCGACTTAAGATGTGAAGATTTGGAAAGGATCAAATCTAATTATTTTATTCATTCAAATTCAATACTTGCTTTCTCTTCAAGTAGCCATCTTCTTCATAAACTTGTGATTTTCTTGGTTTTGCCACACCCCAATTCTTCATTTTGTGTTGTACATATATTCAAATTTTTCTGCTACGGCTAAAATCTGTCTCCTCTTGTAGTGACTGTATCGGGGGTTTGATGGGGGATTCTTCTGGAAATTCGAATAGAGTCAAGCTTCGGGATGGTAGATTCTTAGCTTATAGAGAAGGAGGAGTTAACAAAGGAGGAAGCCAAACATAAGATCATTCTTGTTCATGGCTTTCAAAGCTCCAAAAATATGAAATTCTCTGCCTCAAAAGTAAAAATGCTCTTTGTGTGTTTGTCTGCCTCTATTTTTTCTTTTTAAAAACAAACAAAGTGGGAAAAATCTCATTTGGATTTAGTTTTTCAGGAGCTGGTAGAAGAGCTTGGGGTGTGTACTTTCTGTTCTACGACCGTTCTGGATATGGAGAATCGGATTCAAACACGAAACGTTCTTTGGAAAGCGAAGTTGATGACATAGCAGAACTTGCAGATCAGTTGAAGATAGGACCTAAGTTTTACATAATTGGATCTTACCCTACTTGGGGTTGCCTAAAACACATACCTCACAGGCAATTTAACTGAGAATTCAATTCAAATCATATCTTTATTTGTGTAACAGTTTAAGTAACTATTGAGTGTTCTGTCTTCTTTGCAGGCTTTCCGGCGTGGCTTTTGTTGCTCCGGTTGTGAATTATTGGTGGCCGTCGCTTTCAGGAAAGCTTATAAAGAGAGATTACAGGAGAGTTATTATCAAATGGTGTTTTGAGGATAGCCAAATATGCACCTGGAGTGTTACATTGGT